GGATGTGGTGGGGGAGACGCCTGAATGGAAAGGGTGGTAAGGTTATGGCCATGTGTGACAGGACCCTGTCGCCATCGTACTGTTTGATGATCCTGTCACCCGTGGGGAAGCGGCGTGCTGCTTCCTCAGGAGCCCCGGGCACTGCACGGCCAGAGGTTTGTAAAGCCTCCGCGGCTGCGGGTCAGTACATGACCCTGAGCCAGTGGCCTGGCTCTCCTGGGCCGCCTCTGGCGTAAGATGCTGGTGCAGTGCTGCTGGACTGGCTGCTTCAGGGATGAAGTGAAAAGCAGGTCTGTGAGCCCTGGCCGGTTTGGTCATTGGACAGAGCGGCCACCTGCAGACTGAAGGGTCCCGGGTTTGATTCCAGTCAAGGGCACAGGCCTGGGTTTGGGCTGCATCCCCAGTGGGGGATGTGCAGAAGGCAGCCAATCCATGATTCTCTCTCATCATTGATGTTTCTATCGCCCTCTCCCTCTCCCTCCCTCTCTGAAAGCAATAAAAATATTTAAAGAAAAGAAAAGCAGGGCTGTGGCATAATTGGCAGTGTTGTGCACACTCCGGGCAGGGCCCGCCTTTCCCCCAGTGTGCTGCCACTCAGAGGGTTTGGAAAGCCTCTCGGAGATGCTTAGAGTCTGGCCCAACCTCTGCACCCACCTCAGCGCATCGGGCTCAGCGGGCAGCGGGCATCGCAGTCAGAGCTCGGGAGGACGGAAGTGAGCTAAGCTGGTGCCGTGGGAACCAGCATGTCGAGGACAGAGCTCATTGAATTGGGAGAAGGAAGGGCCAGCAAAGAGGGTGGCTTGAATAAGCTCGGAATGACAGGAAGGAGCAAGAATAGTTCATTGTTTGAGGAGAGGAGAGGGCTTTTTAAAAGGTATTTTCTTTTTATTGACTTTTAGAAAGTAAGGGGGAGGGAGGGACAGCAACATCGAATCCAACGACAACCTCTTGGTGCCTGGGACAACGCCCAGCCAGCGGAGCCCCAGCAGCCAGGGCATAAGATTGGGCTTAAAAAAACACACCATGAAGCTCCTTCGAACATTTGTGAGAAAGGGGGAGGAGCCGCAGGGCAGGCATGTCTGTGTGTGCCAGGTGACCCACTGCGCTTCACAGCGGCTCTCCCACTCTCCGCCTCGATGTGAAGGAGGTTTGCGTCCCCTGGACTCGCCTGGTTAACTACCGTGTTAGAAGGGGAAGATTTGTTTCCCTACACGGACCCCGTTCTTTCTGCCGCGTGTTACCGGTTCCATGGGCTCAGATATAGAGGAGGCTCGAAGGACGGGGCCCAGGTCCCTGTGCAGACACCACCTGGGGGAAACACGGATGCCCGCCCGCCCTCCCCAGGATGGAGGCAGAAGTGAGGACCGCCTGTGCAGAGCAAGGCCTGCCGAGTGGACACACCGAGCTGCGGCCGGTCATCTCCTAGGAGGCAGAGGCAAAGGAGGGTAGTGTGAGGTTAAAAGCGCTGATTGGATGATTGACCAAGAGGAAGCACAGCTGAATAGCAGTGTTTGCTAAAAAACGGGGGAATGGTTAAAAGCGTTTTCAATATCTTTTTCAGCTTTCACTTTCTTGGGCTTTAAAAAAAAGAAGAAGTAGTCATCCCTGGGGGAAGGGGCCGGGTACAGGCTAGAAGGGGCCAATGGGAAAAAAGGGGGACATATGTAATACTTCCAACGATAAAGATGATTTTTTTTTTTTAAGAAAAGGAGACATCATAAAAGAGGCAAGTTTAAGAAAAGAAAAAAAGAAAAAAAGAAAGAAAAAAAAAGCCGTAAGGAGGAATGGGAGAGTCAGTATATTGCAGAAGGACTGTATGAAAGTTTTATGTTTCCATTTCCTAAAGAACAAGGGACGAGGAATCCGAGAACTGCAGCTCCTTAAGAGAGAGCCTCCGCTTCCGGCTCCGTCACCAGGCCGTTCCCACCGGCGCTGCGTCTGTTTTCTCAGCTGCGGCCTGGCCTGGTCCGCCGGGGCCGCAGGCCTCTGTGCTCAGCGGCCCTGCTGGCCCGGCATCCGGGCCCCCGGACCGCCCCAGTCAGGGGCCCGGGCTCAGGGGTCCGCATGCTTGTTCAGCCTCCCCCTCCTGTCCGTCCACGCTGTTAGCCTCTCTGGGCCTCAGTCTCCTCCTCTGTAACTGGGGATACTTGCAGTGAATACTCCCCTGGGTGGTGATGAAGATTCAATGTAAAAACACAAACCTTCCCAGTGAAAGAGCTGGCAGTGGTGAGCACTGGAGAAACGGAGCTGTGGTGACGAGCGGTTGCGGATGCAGCTATCCCGGTGCCCTTTGCCCTGCTGAGAGCACCCGGCCCTGCACCTGCGCCCGATCGCAGCGCCCAGAGGTACATGGAATTAAACAATTAGCGCTTGCCAGGTTCCCCTTTTGGGAAAGGAATGGAAGGAATTTTCAACGATCTGAGTGGTCAGGACCTCTGGGTTATGATTCAGCCACAGTGGACTGTCAAATTTTCCCACAGCTCAGTGGAAAGTCACTGAAGACTCCCCACAAACAGCACCCCCCCCTCAGCGTGTCCCTGTGAGGACGCCCCGCTGGCTGAGTGGCCGCTGGCGCCAACCTGAGCAGGCCTGGCAGAGGGGCCAGCCCAGTGCCCAGTGGCCAGTGCTTCCGCTGCACCCACTGTGCCCAGGTCTCACCCTGCAAGAGTCGTTGTCAACCCATAGTGAGACAGCAGAGAAGAAAAGTTGGGGTTCTGTTCTCCTCGGCAGGGACCCTGAGGCAGTGACTGCCGCAGGCTAGTTCAGAGTCCAGATCTCAAGTCTGCCTCCTCCATGCCTTCCTCTGCGGGGAAAGTCAACCCAGTGGTCGGCAAACTCATGAGTCAACAGAGCTAAAGATCAACAGCACAACGATTGACATTTCTTTGGAGAGCCACATTTTTAAACTTCTTCTAACGCCACTTCTTCAAAATAGACTTGCCCAGGCCGTGGTATTTTGTGGAAGAGCCACACTCAAGGGGCCAGAGAGCCACAGTTTGCCGACCACGGGGTTGACCCATTGTGTGCCAGTAGTTTTATTGCTAGCTTTACCCTGTGGCCAGATAAGCTCCTATTGAACGAGTACAAAAAACGTTTTACAAAGTATCAGGCTTTAAAAAGATACTGGCTTGTAAGAACATGTCATAAATAACTTCAAAATGCAATGGATAATTTTAAGGCGTGCCTTTAACATCTATGTGAAATACTGTGTAACAGGAAAACACGAGGATGCTCATGATCTGCCCGCAATGTGCTAAGATTACGGACGCCGCCCTTAGCTGGTTTGGCTCAGTGGATAGGACGTCGGCCTGTGGACTGGGGGGGTCCTGGGTACGATTCCAGTCAAGGGCACATGCCCAGGTTGTGGACTCCATCCCCAGGAGGCAGCCAATCAAGGATTCTCTCTCATCCTTGATGTTTCTAACTCCCTCTCCCTCTCGGAAATCAATAAAAATATATATTAAAAAAAAAAAAGATTAGGCACGCCTCCCTGATAGCACACGTCGGTGACAGTCACTAAGGTTTCTAAGTTTTCTCAGATGACTTCAGTGGAAGTCTCATCCGGTAACGAAACTGGTCGCAGCTGCAACGAAAGTGGAACCATCCACACAGGTGCTGTCATCGTCACATATTTTGGAATCTTCTAGCGTCACTTCCCCAAGTTTGCGTGCAAGATCCCTTTCACGGGTCTCCCTTCCTCCCTTCTTAGCCTCGCTGAGAAAGTTGCCCCGGGCAGGATGCTACACTTGCTGCTGGAGATCTGGGCCACAGCTCCGTCTGTCTGCTTCCTTTCAGGAGTAGACTGGTGTGGTCCAGAGCTGGTCTGGATGTTCCCCGGCACCAAGTCTAATGCAGAGCGAGCCTCGTACGAGAATAGACTTCAAAATCTAGGCCTCTTGTTCAGGGGCAAACCCCTTCTCGCTGATCCAGCACTGGACGCCAGTGCCACCCGTCCGACAGGGCACGCCCGACCAGCAGCTCAGTGGTTCTGGCCCCTGCACGCTGACAGTGTCTGCCCTTGGCCTCACTCCTCCTCCGTGCACTTCCCTGCCTTTAGGCAGATCAATGGGGTCCCTGCCCTTGGCAGCAGCATCTTCTCCGTGGTAACTTGAAATGCGAGATGCTGTCCAGCGTTTTTGTAGATAAAGAGCCTGAGGCCCAGGAACCGTAGCTGACTTGCCCAAGTTCATAAAGCACTCGCCAGCAGAGGTCAAACCCAGAATGCTGACTTCTCTGAATCCTGTGCCATACTCTCCCTGTCAACCTAGTAAGCATCTTCTTTAAAGGAAAGGTTAGGGCCCCGTCCGGTAGCCCAAGTGGTTAGAGCATTATCCCAATATGCCACAGGTGTGGGTTCCATCCCCAGCCGGGGCACTTACAAGAAGCAACCAAGGAATGCATAAATAAGTCAATCAATCTCTCTCAATCTCTCTCTCTCTCTCTCTCCAAAACCAATAAAGGAAAGCACTGGCCGATGGCTCAGTTGGTGGGAGCATCATCTTGTACACCAAAAGGTTGCAGGTTCAATTCCAGGTCAGGGCAATTGCGCGTTTGACTCCCGGTTGGGTCAAAATTGCAAACAGGAGGCAACCAATCGATGTTTCTCTTACATTGATTCTTTTTCCTCTCTTGCCCCCTCTCCCTTCCTCTCTCTAAAAGATCAGTGAAAACGTCTTTGGGTGAGGATTAAAGATAATAGTAATAATGACGATAAAGGAAAGGTTAGGAGGAGGAGGGGATGAGACTCAATGAAGGAGGGAGGGCTGAAGGAAGGTTCACTCCCAGGCGGAGGCGCAGGGATCGGGGGCACCTGGCTGTGGGCAGAGAGAGAAGGGGCCACAGGTGAGGAAAAGGCGCGGGCAGAGCGGAGAGAGCACGCCACAAACTTGGCTTCTTTGACAATCTCACCAGGCCAAAGAGATCTGAGCGTGCCTTCCCCCCCCCCCCCCAATCTGATTATTTCCACAGCTGCGCCTTTATGCTGCTTATCTCTTCTCCAGGAGATTCTTTGGAATGAAACCAATGGGAGACCGAGGGCTGAGAGAGTCTCATCGGAGCAGATGGGCCAGCAGCCACCAGAGCTTGTTGCCCTTGGCTGAGAGCAGTCCTGGGCCTGGACATCTTGTGAGTACGCCCCAGCCGGCCCGCTTCTCCCCAAAGAACCCCTGTGCCCCCATATACCCCCCCCCCCCGCTGTCTGGGACTGAAAACCCCATTCTCGGGGAGCTCTTCACCCCAAAACCCGGCTGCCGGGGAGCAGCCCGGAGGGCGGCCGCTTGGTGTACTTGGCAGTTCTCGGCGTGGAGGCCCCGGGGGCCGCGCACGGTCCCTGGGACCTTCGGCAGTGGGTCCCGCCCTCGGCCCAGTTTTCTCAGCTGTGAGGCTGTTTAGAGCAACAACAGCTGTCATTAAGGAAGTGCTCACTGTTACGCACCAGCCGTCATTTCACCGAGCCCTTCAGGAGGCCTGTGGTGGGTGCTGTGATCCTGTTTTACAGAGAAGGACACGGAAGCCTAGGATTCTCATACCCGCCCCGCCCGGTGTAAGCCCCAGCGCCAGCCTGCCCTGCACCTCTCTGCTCCCCCGGAGCCGCCCCTGAAGAAACGCCACACAGCTGGCTTTCTCTGCCCCCGAGCTCCGCCAGGGTCTGGGTTCCGTCCCTTTGGCGTGCGTTATTGGGTGTTCACCAGCTGAGCTCTCAGAGATGGCGTAGTGCCTGGCACAGGGTAGGCACTCAACAGTGGGTGAGTTAAAAATAGAATGAGTGTCCCTGGCCTGTGTGGCTCAGCTGGCCGTGCCCCGGAAGGTCACTGGTTTGATTCCGGGTCAGAGCACATACGCAGGTTGCAAGTTTGATCCCCAGTAGGAGGAGGCAACTAATCATTGTTTCTCTCTCTCCCTTTCTCTTTCTCTAAAATCAATAAAAAAAAATATATATATATATTTTTTTTTAAAAAAATGGCCCTAGCCTGTTTGGCTCAGTGGATAGAGCATCAACCTGTGGACAGGAGGGTCATGGATTCAATTCCAGTCAAGGGCACATGACCAGGTTGCCAGCTTAATCCCCAGTGGAGGGTGTGCAGGAGGCAGCTGATCAATTATTCTTTCTCATCACTGATGTTTCTCTCTCCCTCTCTCTGCCCTCCTCTCTAAAATCAATAAAATATATTTTAAAAAACGAATGAATGAATTCTTGGCAGGAGTGTCAATTGGCGTAAGTTCTGGGGAAGTCAGTTTAGCAATGTCAATATTTGATAAGCATTAACCTTTTGGTCTGCCATCCCAGAACTCGGAGTCTATGCTATTATATATCTGTGCATACACCTGAGGCCCACGCACAGGTGCTTGCTGCAGCGCTGTTTGCTACACAGCCTGGAACAATCGAAGGTTCCGCAGTCGGGGAACCCCTTAAAATTTAAGGCTTAAATGCATCGCGATAGTCCCCATGGGGGCCCTCTGCACAGGAGCGGAAAACAGGAGGCGGATCTGCACGGTCTGTTGTCCAGTGAAAGAAGCCACCCCAAACAGCATATCTCTTCCTCCGTTCGCAAAGAAAAGTATCTATAATAATAGATTAAAAATGTACTGGGTTAGGCCTGGGCTGTTCTAGAAGCGGAGGCAAGAAGCAGAGCTGTCTCTGGAAGAGGGACAGGGGTTCTGGTTGGGGAAGAGACTGTGCTCTCACGGTGTACTCACCCCTCCCCAGCGATGTTACTGAGATCCGCTCCACAGAACACAGACTTTCCCATTTAAAGCACCCCCTTCAGCCCTCTTGGCTCCAGGCTGGCCGGCATTCTACCTGTCTTTCTTTGTGGTGGTGGTGGTGATGATGGTGATGCAGTTGATGGTGAGGGTGGTAATGGAGATGTTGGTGATGGTGGTGGTGGTGATGGTGGTGATAATGGTGGTGATGGTGGTGGTGATGGTGGTGATGGTGGTGGTGGTGGTGGTGATGGTGGTGGTGGTGGTGGTGGTGGTGGTGATGGTGGTGGTGATGGTGGTGGTGATGATGGTGGTGGTGGTGGTGATGGTGGTGGTGATGGTGATGGTGATGATGGTGATGGTCAGCATTGGAGTGGGAGCATCTTGGAGTCTAGTCCAATCCTTTCATTTCACAAACTGTAAACAGGCATCGAGAAGAGAAGGACTCCCCTGAGGCCCCACAAGAAGGCACTGGCAGAGCCCCGCCTCGAACCCGGATCTCCTGGCTCCCGAGCGAGTGCTCTTCTTGGTGAAGACATAGGAACACAAAGCTGGTGGGCTGCGCGCCAAGCCCCTGCAGGAGGTCACATAGCCGGGCGGCTCTCAGAGTTCCTCGTCTATTCTTAGCCTGAACTTTTAGTGACTCTGGTCCTCAGCAGCCTGTCCCCCTTCCTCTGCCCTTGGTTTGTGTGTGAACGTGGGCGTGTGTTCAGTGGTGTGCTAGCGGAGGAAATGGGCTCGGGCACAGGCCTGCTCGAGGCCCCGGGAAGGACAAACACGAGAGGGGCCTGAGAAAACAATCAGCTTCCCTCCTCCGAGGTGACCGGGGCCCCGAGCGCCCGGCCGCGCCTCCACAGCCTCCGCAGCGCAGCCGCTGCCTCCCCCGAAGGAAGCGCCGGGAGGAGCCCAGGGAGGAGCCCAGGGAAGACGGCCTCTGCCGGCTCTGAGAGACCGACAGGGAGCTCCTCCCCACACGCCCGGCCACCAAACACGGCGAAAAACCGTCTGACCCCAGCTCCATCTTCTCCGCACCTCCCTCCACTTCGGGAATCAGTGTTGAAAAACGACCAGCGGGAAGAGCAGGTCTACATCAAGTTCAAAGGAGATGAAGCTGCTCAGGGCCAGGCCCCATCCACGGAAAGTCAGGGGGGCGATCTGCCTCACCTGCTGTTCCCCCAGGTCTCCGCTCCGGGCGGGAGCTGTCCACTGCTGGGGAACAGAGGACCTCAAAGCTCGGTGGCAAACTCATTAGTCAACAGAGCCAAGTATCAACAGCACAACGATTGAACTTTCTTTTGAGACCCAAACTGAACCAGATTCACAATTGCCGGGCTAAAGAGTTTTATTGATCAATTGATTTTATTTTGTTAGTCCTCCAACTGGACTGGACATTGAACCCGAAACCTGCATATGTGCCCGTCAAACCCGCCACCTTCTGGTGTTCGGGACGATGCCCCAGCCAACTGCGCCACACCGTCCAGGCCCATTCTCACGTTTTAAATTCTTATTTTAAATTGTATCAAAGTTCCATAGGCACATACTTTTAAAAGTCAACTTTTACCATTCTACGAGGTTTTTTAAGACAAATGTGGCCCTCAGCCTCCCTCCATCCCCTACCCCACCCCCGTCCCACCCCCAGCTCCCCTGCCCTGAAGGGACCATTTCAACTTGGTTAAGGAATTCTTTTACCTCTCTATAAATAACATGTTTGTGTTGCTACTTCCTGCCTCCGTCCAGGCATTATCTGCTGACTTCCCACCGCGGGAGAGGAGGACTCGGCACCTTGCCCTGGTCCTGTCACCCCCTCTGTACACACCCTCACCTCCTGAACCCCCTTCTTCCCAGTGCGTTGGAGTGTAATTTCCGTAGATCGATCCTCAGTGCACTTGTCATTATGACCAAGTAAATGCCATCACAGCGAAGCCACAGAGCCAGCTCCTATCGCCTTTTCCGTCCCGGCGTCTTTGTTTTGATTATCTTGTTTCCCATATGCTCAGGCTCCTAAGATCCTATCACAGCGAACCCTACGCACTGCCCGCCGCCAGGCCCCCGGGCATGTCCGTGGGAAACTTTCTCGGAGCCTTCTGCCTCGGGGGTGCCTCCTGGAACCCCCTTTGCCCATCCTCCAGCGAAGCCCTCTGCCTCTCTCCGGACCCTGTGTCTTCTCGTTCCTCGATTTCTTTCTTCTTCTTGAGGACATATGCTTTTGAGAACTTGTGAGAGTGCGCGAGAGGGGACTCGCCAGCTCCTGCGTGTCGGGTGGGATTCCTGATCAGAGTCCCTTTCGCCTCTGAACTTGGGTAGTGTTTCCTGGCTTCTCCGGCTGCCGTGGGGCCACAGCCTTTGCTGCCTGCGGCCTCGTGGGGTTTCTTGGTCCCGTTGTCAGGACGTCTTACCATGACCGGTATCAGGCTCGCTGCTCTGTGTCTTCCGTCTGGGAGCTTCCTCCTTGGCTCTGGAGTGTTCTCTTGGATCATGTTTGTACCCTTTGCTGTGTTTCTAGACTCAGCCATTGGGATGAGTTTCTCATCTGTTCTTTCCTAGTTTCTGCCTCTTTTTACTCTGCTTTCTGAAAATTTCCCTCAGTCTGTCTTCTAATCCTTACGCTTGTGTTTTTTTTATTTTTTTATTTTTATTTTTGATGTCACAGTTTTTCTTTCCAAGAGCCCCCACTGAGGACTTAGCCCTGGAGAAGGACACAGAGCCCTCCTGGCGGAGTTTTAGCTCCAGTGACACCGATGCGTGTGTCTAACCCACGCCTTTCCCCGGGCTCTACACACACCGGCCATCTCACGATCCCTGCTCCTAGTCCTGTCAGACCCTCTCAGCTTCCATGAAGCTTTCCAACCCGCTAACACGTGTGCCCCTCACAAGCACACCGAGACATCTGGGCAGAACCTTAGCACCGACTGGTTCGTCTGGATCGCCTTACGGAGAGAAGCCCTGATCCTCAGACAGCGTCCTGTGGTGATACCTCCCCCGGGTGTGGGAGTGTCCGCTGGCAGGCACCCTGTACTCGTGTAGCTTTCCTTCTATTTTAACTCTTTTCCAAAAAGCGTCACTGAGGTGTGACTGGCACGCCATAAATAAACTGCACCTGGGTAAGACGCCCAATCTGTTATAGTATTTTGACTTATACATCCTCTCCTGAAACTATTGTCAAGGTCAAGGTATTATTGCCGAGGCCAGTTTGGCTCAATGGATAGAGTGTCGGCCTGCGGACTGAAAGGTCGCTGGTTCTATTCTTGTCAAAGGCATGTATCTTGCCGGGACCGGTTTGGCTCAGTGGATAGAGCGTTGGTCTGTGGACTGAAAGGTCCCGGGTTCGATTCTGGACAAGGGCATGTACCTTAGCTGCGGGCACATCCCCAGTGGGGGGTGTGCAAGAGGCAGCTGATCGATGATTCTCTCTCATCGATGTTTCTAGCTCTCTATCCCTCTCTCTTCCTCTCTGTGAAAAATCAATAAAATATATTAAAAAAAAAGAAAAGAAAAAGGCATGTATCTTGATTGCGAGTACATCCCCAGTAGGGGGGTGCAGGAAGCATCTGATCAATGATTCTCTCTCATCGATATTTCTAACTCTCCATCCCTCTCTCCTCCTCTCTGTAAAAAATCAATAAAATATATATTAAAAAAAAAAACAAACACAAGATATTTATCCCCCACCAGGTACCCCCAAGAACCTTTGTCATGCCTCTCTCCTGCCTCCCCCAATCCTGCCTAGGCAACTGCGGATGTACTTTGTCTCTGTAGATGGATTTGCATCTGCTGATACACAGCGAGTCGTAGGTGTGATCTTTGGGGGGCGGGGCATCTGGCTTTCTTTCACACACAGTTTTAGTGGGTCCTGTGCAGCCCACACCTGACTGTCTCGGTGGGAAGCTTCCGTGTCCCTCTCTGTCCTCTCTGCTCTCCCTCCAGCCCCAGGGCTGCTGCCCGCAATG